TATCTTACCACTATCATATCGGCTAAGAGTCCTTGGTGTTTAACACCCTGTGAAAGGTGAGGTAGAAACATTGGTTAAATCCAATTTTCTACGTAATAAATATCTCAAAGCTGACCATCATCTTATCACTATCATATCGGCTAAGAGTCCTTGGGGTTTAACACCCTGTAGAAGGTGATGTAGAAATATTGGTTCAATCCAATTTTCTATGTAAGGAATATCTCAAAGCTGATCATCATCATCATCACTATCATTTCACTTTGAACCCGATAGAGTAGATATAGTGATATAGACAATACTACAGATGCATAGGTGCAAAGATGGTTTAAACTCTACACCAGCTCAGTAATAGGAAAGCATGCAGTAAATGATGAAGGCAGTTTTAAAGGGCAGTAATTAAGGATAATCAGGAACCATAATTCCTAGCAGTAATACATTTAAATTGATTTATAATCCCTCTAGTAAATATCTCACAGCTGACCATTAACATCACCATCATCACAATGATCATTTCACTCGAACATCATAGAATAGATATAGTGACGAAGTTATACTACAGATGCAATAGGTGTAAAGATGAGATATCTATCACCAGATCAGTACTTTAAAAAAAAAAACATACAGAAAAATTTTTTGAAACCAAGGGCAGTAATTGAGGTTAGATTTATGTTCCATTGAGTCATCTATCAGTAAAAGGGAAAATGATACTTGATGTTCCATAAAGTATCATTTTGTTAAAAAGGGGGGGAGTATGTGATGAGGTGCTGTGCATGGTCTTCACGATTACATAGTGGCAAGCAGAAAGTCCGTGCAACAAGGGACAGCACGAGATACTTGTGCCTAGTCGAGGAAGCGAGGGAAACCCCGAGCTAGCCTCGTGGTCAGTCGATCATCAGAAGTCAGAGAAGACGGTTGTAGTATTTGAAGATGTCGTCTCTATGTCGGGCAAATGTTTAATGTTCGAAAATGTCGCGAGTGAAATAAATGTGAATAATGTGTTGAACATGTGAAATAAATGGACGAGAATAAACTGACAGAATGTACCAATAAGCTGAGCGGCGTTTGTGTTGTCAACCCTAGACGTTAAAGTTGGTGTAAACCAAGGTTCATGTCAAGTCTACGTCAAGGTTCAGTTCAAGCAGACCACGATTCATTCTAAGTTGAATCAGTCATTACAAGTGAAGCATTAAATTATTACATGCTGCTAAGGTTGCTAATGATGCTAATGTTGCTAATGTTGCTAATGATGCTAATGTTGCTGATGGTGCTAATGATGTTAATGATGAAAATGATGCTAATGTTGCCAATGTTGCTGATAGTGCTACTGTTGCTAATGTTGCTAATAATGCTCATGTTGCTAATGTTGCTAATTGTCCATATCCTGGTGCCCCAGACTGTCTGCAGTTGGTTTCACGTGTTTAACTGTATGCGCACAAACTTGCTCATCGGCGCAGCAGGCAAACGATATGCAGTGCCTAGGGTATGTGCCATGTTAGTGTTTCCCTTTACTTTTATGACTGTAGCTTACAGACGCGACATGTTGTTTCCAATACTCTTAATAATAGTGGGAGCATTACACTTGATTTAATCAAACCCCTCTCAGTGTGTGTTTCTCTCTGTCAGTGTGTTTGTATATCTGTGGGTCTGTTTGCGTGTCTATGTCTATCTGTCTGCCCTGCTCTCTCTCTCTCTCTCTCTCTCTCTCTCTCTCTCTCTCTTTCGCTCTCTCTCTCTCTCTCTCTCTCTCTCTCTCTCTCTCTCTCTCTCTCTCTCTCCACACTTGTGATCGTTTCCACCTGTAGTAGAAGTATACATAATAACAACAACTGCACCAACACAATTTAAGCATTTTGTCTGTCACCCTCTTTCCCATCTCTCTCTCTCTCTCTCTCTCTCTCTCTCTCTCTCTCTCTCTCTCTCCCTCTCTCTCTCTTTCTCTCTCTTTTTACATTTGATCTCTACTAGTTGTTATAGCAGTATACTTGCACAATTAAAACAACAGTTGTAGGCCAGTGGTGTTTTCAAAGAGGTCCTGGGAGAACTCAAAAACAATCAGGGAAGAGACACACGACTTACGTTTCGCTGGTTCCAGCAGAACAGTCGGATCTGGGATTGGATGTGAAGGGATTTCTGTGCCATTGGGATACTTCACATGGACCTTAAACTCGTACTCGTCGTCGAACCGCAGGTCATGCTCTTTCAGCTGTAGATGTTATTCGAAACTCATTGACTGGATACTCAAGTTAATCATCATTCTATTTGGCTAAGGAGTTAATTTTCTTTATTATCAATATGCCCAGTTTGGTATCATGCTCGCCGTGTGTATTCGGGGGCCGCATTGTCGAGGAAAAAAAAAAGACTTACTGGCTTCCTTACAAGCATGTCGTAAAGTCTATTTAGGGGTTTCCTTAAAAATCGGAGGGCGCCTGCCTGAGAGGTAAGAAACAAACAGTCTGCGGAGTAAACATGAGCCAGGTCTGTAAAACAGATGTGCATGCAAAATTGAGCGGACGAATAACCAGAGCTTTTCGCATAATTGTACAGCCTGTGAATTCGAAGAAGAAGAAGAAGAAGAAGAAGAAGAAGAAGAAGAAGAAGAAGAAGAAGAAGAAGAAGAAAAAAAAAGAAGAAGAAATAGAAGAAGACGAATATATTATTAATATTAGGAATATGTAGATGCACGAGAATCCGGTGGCTTGGGCACGTAACATTTACCCCCATACGATGTATAAATCTGAACTCGGCGTGTGGTTTACTAACAATTAGGTTCCGTTGCCCAGCTACAAAGCCGATTGCTTGCCGAAACACGGTGAGCTGTGAATTTAATATAGATTTTTTTTTCTCTCGTCTTGTGTCTGCGACAACTGTTTTGTGAACTGCATTAAAATGGCTGGTGACCGATTACGCTCGGAGTAGCGTGCACTTTTGCAGTATAACGTGTGCACTATCGGTTTTCGTAATAGACTGCATGAATCAATGGTATACTGCAATTTTTCTGTGGCACTGCTAGTTGGCACATCTGAATTTATTTAATGCGTGCGAGCTTCAAGATGTAACTGGGACTGACATGTTTTTTGCTAGTTTTCATATGGAACAGTGAAAGACATTTTGCGTCACTTCCACTTGGACCGGAATGGAACAGTCACGTGGCAACCTGTCTGCAGTCAAGTTGGAATCTCGACTACCGATTAACTAATTACAAATTAAATAATCAAAGTATGCATTTAGTTTTACAATACATGTTTGTTTAGGTTTAAACGGCAAATCGGCGTCATGGTACAAGGACAGTAACCCATAAATGCTCCCTTCTACTGTTGACTCAGGCAGGAGTCCGAAGAATTTCATCATAGTGCACGGACTCAGTAGTACCGGCGAGGATCTTGAAATACTTGGGCTTGATTTTTAACTAAAAATTTTTTACCGGCACCACCCTTAGGCTACTCTTCTTACGATTTCTAACTGCCAAGGTATTTTTACGTGTGCAACAATACACACGGGTGTCCGATTTTACTACCCAAAGATCAGGGGAAATTACTAGAAGTTCAGGTGAAAATCCCAGCCTTCACCGGGGCTTAAACCGTGACTTCCAGCACTCGAGGCTGTTGCCATGCCTCGAGAACACTCGCACCCTTCATGTAAGTAACTTACCTGGGCAGTGATGTCGTATTTGAAAAGCCGATCAAAATGCCAGGGCATCTCTACTGAACCTCCGAGGATTGTGAAGTAGCCCGCTTCAAAACACTTCCCCTGACTGCAGATTTCAAAATCAACAAGAGCAGACGTGCCGAACCCACTCAGGAGAAATCCTGGACAATAAAGTAAGCAGGAATAAATACGTGTCTTCTGCTTTAAGAGCTGGATTAACTTCACAACACTCCGGACACATCCATAGGTGCTCAGATTCCCCCTTAAACATATTCATCATCGTCGCGCTGTCAGTGGTGCCAGTCCTTTACTATTTAACACGGCATCGTATGCGTCTGGTGTGCTTCTCATGCTTGGCTGTGCCAATCTTAACTAGCAATTCTTTTATTAGTTAATCAATAGATCGATAATCTTCATTGCACATGGGACAAGTCCACAAACGCTCGGATCCCTTATTATCTCCCTCAGCGAGTGGTGACAAAAACCGGTTTTTTTTTGGTTTACTATTTTTCTTTGGCTACCTGTATAGTGTTCATGCCTGGCAGCACCTCTTTTCTTTGACATGAAGTGCCAGTTGTCTTCAACGTCGTCTCCAAAATCATCTACTTGTCCTGATTCCTTGAAAGCACTGAGAACATTGGTCAGATCCATTGCCTTTCCTGTGTCTACAGTTACCTTACCAGCTAGCCAGTCCGTGTGTTAATTCCCTCTTTCGTGTGCCCTGGCACAAAAACGATTCCTGTCAGACAATAAGAAGAAACTCCACAGGGGAGCATATACAACAGGAGTCTACCAATCGTCAGTAGAAGTAATCTCTCGTCGACAAATGTTTTGGCCCACGGCCCTAGACATTTTCAGAGAGTGGGCCCACCTGAGTTCATGAGGCTCAGGGTTGATGTTCTTCTGCTGCACGTATTACCGGAAGATTTACCAACAAGATTGACTCAGCCTCCAACCTTTGTCTTCAAACCCAAACTAACTTTATCTTCTTTAGCATGTGCATGGAATCACTTAGAAAGCAAGCATGCAACTGGGGTCGGAGAGGAAAACAAGGATGGGGTGGGGGGTACAAATGTATGTTTCTAGCAAGGTCACTGCTTGCTATCGGTATCACCTAAACATGTTATTTTAACAAGAAATGCCTCACCAAAGTGGTTTCTTTAATGATAAAAAACATAAGAAATTCTATATGGTTAAACAGACTTATTTTTTAACGCTTTCTTCATTAGGTGCATTTCTGAACACTGTCTACCCATTCAGTCTAGACTGATAATGTTTAAAAAGCAGACAGGTTAATCATGATATGATTAGTCTTTGTGTAAACAAGGCAACTGAAACTAATACTGAATATTTACCCGCGAAAACTCTGTCACGCCCCTGTCTCTCCTTGATTAAAGCGTCCAGGGCTGGAACATTCATCCCGACAAACTCCAGGTCATCGTACTGGTAGTTGAAGTGTGCAGAGTAGTCAAAGGCGTCTTCCGGGCGGGAAAAGGTTTGTGTGGTTGGGTTCAGGTTGTATGGCGACCCAAAGCTGAACGGTTTCAGTGGTTCCTGTTGATAGTAACATGTTTTCAACATAAAAGACATTTATTTTAAAAATGTGACCTTGATTTTCAGGTCGACCTAGACTAAAATGGGTACCAGGTAAAGTTCTAGGAAGTAAAGGTGGCCGGCGTTATAGTGATTATATCAGCCAGGGAGTGACGATTGGTCTGCATAAAGACGAGTCTATTACGAGTCTACTATTATGTTTCCGATGCGACACTAGCGTGAACAGAGTCTATATTTGGCTTTATTTATTAATATGTGAGAAATAACAATATGTAAGTCTGAAGTTTGAATGCTTGAAGAAATTCTATACAATCTGTCTGTGTTAGTTGCTTCAAAAACCCTATCCTGATATACCTAAGTGAATCAAGGACAGTTGGATGATTAGTGAAAATTATTTGGAAGCTGCGGAGATGAGGTTTTATAGAGGAATGACAAGGATACCCTGGACATATGACAAGAGTAATGAAGATTTCTGGACAGAAACTGACTCACAAAGAGAACTGTCTGCGAACTTCAGAAAGAGATCTCTTCGATCATATCGTGAAAAGAAAAAAAACAAACTGAAATACAGGTGACAGTGGGGAAGTTGTAAGGGGAAAGAGAAGAGATTCGGAGAGAGAACATGCTTTACAGTTTGACATCTCTACATGGAAGATCATCTGTGTCAGCAATAAAAAAAATAATACGAGACTGCAGGTTGTGGATAGACATGACTATAAACGCTACACAACAGGGACTATAAGAAGAAGAAACTTACAAGTAAATAAGGTGTGTTATCCAGCATCAGTAACGACTGCTAACCTACTTAAAATCAACACCTGCCAGATAAAATACCTGAGAAATGCCGCTGACTTAATCATTCGAGACAAAGTTGGAAATGATAATTATCAGAAAGACTGTGGAAAAACTCCATGCAGCAGATTCATTGAGAAATAGAAAGTCAAATGGTTTGGTCATCTAGAACCAGCTAGAACAACTACCAGCGCGGACTGGAAAAGAACTGAAGTGAAATGAAGAGGCCGTATTAGGAAAACAATAACTGGCAATACAAGTACAAGAAAGAGCTATAGGCAAACATAATCACAGATGCCTGACTGCAAGAGCTTTCGGAAGACGAATGGTTAACAGCTGTCACCCGGGCACTAGCGACCTTTTCATATACGCTTCTCAACCATCAGCAGATAGTGCAAACTTCAAATTCCTATGGTATCTGTAGCAATCTGATTGTAAATCCGTCTTGCCTTCTCCCTAAGTGTTGAGTGCCTGCCAGGTGCTCTTGTCAATCACCGCTGCACTATTATCTTAAGACTGAGTGGTCTCAAGGCACGGCGTCCGCCTCGAGTGCGAGAGGTCTCAGGTTCAGGCCCCATTGAAGGCTGGGGTCCCCCCCCCCCCTACATAAACTTCTAGTGAATTTCCATCGTCTCTGGGTAGTCAGATCGGATGCGTGTATGTATTGTTGCGCACATTTAAAAAAAAAATCCATTGTGAGTTAGAATTCGAAAAGAGCAGCCTAACGGCGCTGCCCGGGCAAAATTTGGAGTTAAATTTACCCAAAGTAGTTCAGGATCCTCGCTACGGAGTTCCTGCACTGCGCTGAGATTCGTCTGACTCAGGCTTGGGTTAGAAGTAGAACGGATCATTTATGGGTTACTATCATTGTGCCATGATGTTGATCCGTTGTTAATAGCAAACCATCTTCAGACCGTGACGACCAGTTCTTGTCCCAACACTGTTCGCTCGCTCCCAAAGGGTTTTGATAAGAAAAGAAAAGAAAAAAAAATTAAAAAAAGTACTAACTTTCAATAGCTCCAAAGCGCAGTTTGCCCCTTGTGAAGAATGACCCCGATGTTTCTGAAGAGCTTGCCAGACAGCCCAGAGTCTATCAGTGTTGGAGTGATGCAGAAAAAACACTGGATCGTAGGATGCATAATGAAGGTGTCCCATGGAATGTTCTTTGGATCCCCCAAGCCAGGAGTGGATCGCATTATGGGTCACCTCCAGCTGGATCTCAAAGTCACAGAAATCTTCCTGCTCCAGAGCCAGCAGTGTTTGCTCGAACAGCCGGGTGTCCCAACCGTGAGGACCGCGCTTATGCAAATACTGACCCTGCAAGTTTAATGCAATCAAAATGGCAGTATTGAAAGAATGCTTATTAATTTATTTTTTGAAAATGGTGGGCTGGTGGGTGGGAAAGGGGGAGGGGATAATATATAGTAAGTGAATGATTGATTTGACTGATGGACATTTTTTATCACTGTTGAAGAATCAGGCTAAGCTTCAATCATCTGCGATGCTTAGGTCACAACTAACAAATACACAGCCAACTGTATCAACAGCAGCCGTGGGAATTATCTTAGTATATGTATATTAGAACATGCATTTTATACATAGGTTAGCATACAAAACATAAAAAGACACGCTTTACTGGCGGTAACAGTAAGCGGAAGGTTGCCAATATGACTCTGCTACCGAACTAGGGACATATTTACTCACTTTCACCAATCTCCACGTGGGTACCAGGGCCCCAATTAAGGGTGATGGAAGGAGCGAGGAGGTTGAAGAACGGACCAAGTAGGCCCTAATAAGCAAACCATTAAATGGTCCCTAAAAGGTAAACCATTAAAGGTGACTGATCAGTGGATATAAAATCGGATGCGTTCGTCCTGATGATGCAGATTTCTAGCCTTGCTGTAAACCACACCATCATCTGACCCCCTCCCCCCCCGACCCCCCACCCCCCAGAATAATAAAGATAAAAATAATCTCAAAGCCAAGATCCCTTTACACGTCATTTAGGCGCATCGGGCATATGGGAAGAGCATCCATTTTTTTTACAGACCAATGGGAACTGGGTGGGTAATGTGGTCAGCATAACGCCAGCTTTTACTTAGCTAGGACATACATCCTGGTACCCATTTCAGGCTGGGTCGACCTGCGATGCCCCATGCCATAATACAAATCTATGCAGCCAGCAGTGGGTTTCGATCGTGGTACGTTGGAATTACGAGTCAGACTCGAAACGCCTAAGCCACGTACGCCGCAGTGATAATAATACTGATCAAAATAGTAAAGATAATAACATGTTTCATATTATTGATATTAAAAATAATAGGAACATAGAAGAAGAAGAAGAAGAAGAGAGAAGAAGAAGAAGAATAGAAGAAGAATAAGAAGAAGAAGAAGAAGAAGAAAGAAGAAGAAGAGAGACGAAGAAGACGAAGAAGAAGAAGAAGAAGAAGAAGAAGAAGAAAAAGAAGAAGAAGAAGAAGAAGAAGAGAAGACGACGAAGAAGAAGAAGAAGAAGAAGAAGAAGAAGAAGAAGAAGAAGAAGAAGAAGAAGAAGAAGAAGAAGAAGAAGAAGAAGAAGAAGAAGTAGAATAGAATGAAGAAGAAGAAGTAAGAAGAAGAAGAAGAAGAAGAGAAGAAGTGAAGAAGAAAGAAGAAGAAGAAGAAGAAGAAGAAGAAGAGAAGAAGAAGAAGGAAGAAGAAGAAGAGAAGAAGAAGAAAGAAGAAGAAGAAGAAGAAGAAGAAGAAGAAGAAGAAGAAGAAGAAGAAGAAGAAGAAGAAGAAGAAGAAGAAGAAGAAGAAGAAGAAGAAGAAGAAGAAGAAGAAGAAGAAGAAGAAGAAGAAGAAGAAGAAGAAGAAGAAGAAGAAGAAGAAGAAGAAGACGAAGAAGAAAAAGAAAAAGTAGAAGAGGAAAAAACCATATTAAATATTCAGTAAACAATAACATACTAATACTTCTCTTTCCACGACAGCCTGCTCAAAATTAATTGTTGCATTATTGAAAGGATTTTCGTAGACAACCCCAGTGTAAGGGTCTGTGAAGGACGCGTCCGTGATGAAGCTAGGGAGAGCAACAGTATCGCTGGCCCAATCCCAGTAGGGCAAGCCTACTAGAGAGCCCTGTCTGCGGAGGCCATCTTCGATTTGGACAGTGTAGAGTCTGTGCCAATGAGGGAACGTGGCCTTGCCATGGATGCAGCAGGCATGTCTGGGAACGCACAATGCGTATGTTACAGCAAACAGAAAATGAATACATGAAAAACTGACATCACTGCGCTTGGGACATTCCCACAACTGCTCCGTCCCCTTCTTCAGTAGCCAACGAAGAGTTGACATGCCCGTAGTACCAGCTGCAACTTGGTCCACTTCCGTTTGCCCTTCAATGTTGAATATCTTACATAACATCTACACATACCCAATTTAATTTGTCAATTTATGGATTTCCTTTCTATTCTTTTGCACTTGACATTTGATCCCACAGAGCATCACATTCGATCCATTATACAGTAGCTCACCACCCAAGGGAGCGGTAGAAGCTAATCTAACAATCAGTTCGATGCCTCGAACACCTGCATATCCTGGACAGAAAATCCATGACACGTTCTTGCTCTGGATCTTATCAAGTGATGCAGCAAACAGAGATGAAGAGTTACCTGACTGGTTCTCAAACCACAAGTAAAGGTGACATGTTTAAGTACTTGGGTACCCTGTTAACATCAGATTGAGGATGTAGTAAAGAAGTTAAAGATCGAATAGCTCAAGCAAAGTGACATGTTTAAGTACTTGGGTACCCTGATAACATCAATTGAATGTTAGAAGTTTAAATCGATGTAGTAAAGAAGTGTAAAGATCGTAACCCTGATAACATACTCAAGGATGTAGTAAAGTAGTTTTAAAGTGACATGTTTAAGTACTTGGGTACCCTGATAACATCAGATTGAGGATGTAGTAAAGAAGTTAAATATCGAATAGCCCAAGCAAGGGCAGCACTTTACAATATGAAGAATATTTTTATGCAGTCTTTCTTTATCACTTGAGAGGAGAAAGAAATTCTTAGAAGCTCTATTATCCTATCTTGATATAAATGTACAGGTAAAGGAGCGACTCCATTGCACCAGGTTTTATCCTAAATGGCTTAGTCTCTTTCGAAAAAAAACAGATAGCTGCCTGCCGAGAGCGTCGCACAGAGCACGAACTCCATAGCGCCAGCAACGATCTTCAGGGATCTCCTTTAAACCTAAAAACTCCACTTGAAAATTGCACCCGTGAACTGAACGGCGCCGTGGTGAAATGAACACATGACCTTTAAAGCGCAAGGGAAACGGCTTGACTACTTCGCCACGAGGTTTTTGCTTCTGCCGAAGCAGACGAGCATTTTTTGCTCCCATTTGTAGACTGGAAAACATTATCTGATATGAATGCATGGCGACGACCCTGGTGAGCTGGCGAATTGCGGAATGATGTGCCCAAGGTTGGTTGTTTAGATTCAGAATGTGCGAGAATGTCTTGTCAGTGGTTGGTGGTGAAGACAGATAAAAGACTGCTGAAGGCGAGAAGGGGATTAAAAGACGCAATTCTAATACTGTGATAAACATTCTGTGTGTTTTTCGTTGGCACAGGAGCGGAGCAAAGATGGGGACCCGTTTGCTATGACTGAAAAAGAGAACTGACTACCTGACCTATCCAAGGAAACAGAGAACCTGCGGAGACAATCTACGGGGGACTTCTTTGTTTAGACGAATGATGAGAAGACCCTGGAGAAGAAGAGAGAAAACGTTCTTAAGAGAACAAAAACGACTGACGAAGAAGGATCAGAAAAACACAATCTCTACAAAGTTAGAGAAGGAGAAAACTGGAGTTCATCGTGACGGCAGGAAAGTTGGAGGGGAGGAGAGGCAGAGGGAGACGGAGACAAGAGATGCCAGATAGTCTGACATCATGGCATGGAGGATCATCTGTGTCAGAGTTAACACAATGTACACGAGACAGGAGGATGTGGATAGACATGACTACCAACGACACACGGCATGGACTTTAGGAAGAAGGGCATGGTTCTAGAGTTGAATAGTTGTTACAGAATTAACTGCTTTGCCAGATGCCCTTGTGGGTTCCGGGGACCTATTATGGGGAAACAAGAACAGAGGCACTGCCTAACAAACAGCATGTCGTAAGAGTCGACTAATTAGGGCGCTTTCTTCGAAGTCAGAGTACATCTGCCTGAGAAGCAAGCAACCAGCAGTCTGCATACAAATGAGTCAGATCTGTAACACGGATACACACGCAAAACTCAGGTTCTGGAACAGGACTGCAGACCAGAAGTGGACGAACAACCAGAACTTTCAGCCAGAGTTTACAGCTGCTGAACGCGAAGAAAAAGAAAAAGAACTGCTTTCCTAGAGAATTGCTGAAGTATTTAGCAGTTGAGCTCAACTCCACGGGATGTATGTTTGTTACAAAATTACTGTCTTACTAGAGAATAGCTGAAGTAAATACCAGACCAGCGAATATCAAGAAGTAACAACTGAAAACGACACAAACTGAGAAGATCAATGAATAGAAGGACGCGCAAAAATTCGCTTCGCTGACAGGTTAGACGTTCTCAATCCTCAACGTATAAAAAGTGAGTACATAACTGAGATAAGAAACAGAATAAGATAGGCAATAACTGCATTTTATAAAATGAAAAACATCTTGTGCAATATATCCTTGTCATTGAGAGTTAGAAAAAGAATTCTTGCTTGGTACATACATCCAGTTTTAACATATGGTTGTGAATCCTGGACAATCGGTCGGCAGGCCAAACAACTTCTTGAGGCCACAGAGATGTGGTTTTACAGAAGAATGCTTAGAATACCATAGGCAGCCAAAAAGAGCAACCAAGAGGTTTTAAAAGAGGCGGGAGTCCGAAGACAACTTATCACAGACATCAGAAGGAGAGAGTCATCATTGACAGTCTTGTCGCATGGCATGGA